GATGGATAGATGTGGGGATGGATAGATGTGTGGATGGATGGATGGATGGATGGATGGATGGATGATGGATGGATGGATGGATGGATGGATGGATGGGTGGGTGGGTGATGGGTGGATGGATGGATGGACGAGGGGGTGGGTGATGGGTGGGTGGGCGATGGGTGGGTGCCTGCATGGACAGATGGATGCATGGGTGACTCCAGCACTTTCAGAGAAGGCCCCCAGCGAGGCAGTGCAGTGGCAGGATCAGAGCTCTGTGCACTGTAGCATTGGGGGTGCTGGGGGGTGATGGTCTCTGGGCAGGACGCTGCCTTCACGCCGTGCGCCCTTCGTGTTCTGGGATGTTGGAGGGTGTGGCCGCTGCTCCCCCAGGTGCTCACCACACCTGTGATCCTCGTCTCGCCTGCGTCCCCCTGGCCGGGCGCGCGGCAGGTGTCCACAAGTGGTCGGCAGCGAGTGGACGGAGGGGCCCCTTCCTCTCAGTTCTTCTGGTTCCACAAACAGGTCCCTGTGCCCTGCTCGCCCTCCCCCGAGGCCCACGGAGGAAGGGGGCGGGCGCGCATTTTCTTGGTGGCAGGAAATAAGAAACGGTTTGAGGTGCCCTGTGTGTGTTCGGGGCTTGTGGGCGGGGCCAAAGGCCAAGACCCCGTGGCCGTGCATGGGTTTCGGGTAAGAGAGGGCTCAGGGTGGCCATTTTCCCCATCTGTTACTACTGCTATTTATTTTAATGCTCAAATTGTCCCATTAAGTGTCTGGCTCAGGGGCAGCAAGCACCTTCACACTGCTGTGCGGCCGTCACCAGCAGCATCTCCAGAGCTTCGCATCTTCCTAGACTGAGGCTCTGCCCGCATCAAACCCGACACCCCCACCCCGGGCACCGTCCCTCCCACTCCGTCCCTGTGGCTCCGGCTCCTCTGGCCCTCGTATGAGAAACGCACGGTGTGTGTCCTTTGTGCCTTGTTCACTTCACTCAGCGTGGGCTCCTTCCTCTCTAAGGGCGGATAAGGCTGGTATGGGGGGACCCATTGTGTTTGCCCATCGCTCCGCCCGTGGACGCCTCGGCGGCTCCCACCCTTCGGCTACTGCGGGCGCTGTGGCGTGGGTGTGCAGAAAGCCTCTGCCTCGCTTCTTTGGGGTACAGACCCACCAGTGGAGCTGCTGACCGTATCGTAACCCTGCCTACTGTTTTCACTCTCCGTCAGTGTTAACGCTGCCACGCCGTGCAGAGTGGTTCTCACGCTCCCTCCGACAGAGCACAGGGCGCGGATGCCCCGCGTCCTCCCCCATGTGCTGCTTTCTGCGGGCACGTGCACAGCCCCCCGCTGGGCGCGATGGCCTTGGTCTAAGACAGAGCCGGCCCGGGTTGCGTGGGGCGCCCTATCAGTCCCACCTGCTGTTTGTTTTTACCAATTCACTCTTTTTCTGTTTACGCACCCTGAAATCCAAGAGTGTAGAGAAAACCACACATTCATGTAACACCACCCCGATCATGACACATGTGCCGTCATCCCCAAAGGTCCTGTGGTGCCGGTCCGCCATCAGGCCCGCCCGTCACCCAGCTCTGCAGCCGTCACCCGGCTCCCGCTCCTGCAGTCCGGCCTTCGCCCAGTGCCACGGGCGTGAGCCGGCGCAGCACGGAGCCTTCGTGCTGGGCGTCTCTTCCCGAGGCCCCGCCGTGCGCCCTGGCCACTGCCCAACTCGTGACAGAGAAGGGGCCCCCGCTCCGGGATCCGCGGGGTGGCGTTCATCCGCCTGATGTTCGATCCAGCTTAGGGCCACAACGAAGAAAGCCGCTATAAATGCTCAGGTCCCTCTTTCTGGAAAAAACGAATTTTCATTCTCCTGGGTGAACACCTAGGAACGGGTGCCAGGCAGCGACCTTTCTAAGAAATGGCTGAGCCGCTTTGCGAAGGCCAGCGCCGCTCCGCATCCCCACCGGCAACGCGGGCCGCTCCGCATCCCCACCAGCAACGCGGGCCGCTCCGCTGTCCCCTCCGGCCGACACTCGGTGTCGCCGGCGTTGTCCGGTTCAGCGCAGGGTTTTCTTCTGAATGTTCTCAAAGGAGTTAGTATCTCGCTGCGGTTCTCAGTTCGACCATGACCTGCAGAGCGTAGACGTTCGGATTTGAGAAAGCCTCAAACACGCGGAGTCTGGCCTCCCAAATGTCACATCCGAGTTCCAAGTCCTTATCCCAGGCGATCGCCTGGTCGCAATCCCGCAAAGGGAGGGCCCCCCCAGTCCCATCCCCACCCAGTGTGGGAGCTCGGAGTGGATGAGGCGTGCCAGGAGGCCAGCTGGCCAATGTGCCCATTTTATCGATGAGAAAGGGGAGGCCCAGGAGGCAGACTGTCCAAGGCCGTCGACAGGGTGGTGCCAGAGGCCAGGGCAGGGCCTGGTTTCCTCCAGCTCCGTCCTGCCCATTGCCCCGCTCCCCGCCCCCAAGCCCGTCACTTTGGGGGATGCAGTTCCACTAACGTGTGTCGTGGCACCGTGACATGCAGCCCTGGCTTCTGTCCCCGACTTGTGAGAGACCAGAGGATGAGCACAATGGGCCTCCCTGGGGAGCGGCAGCTCGGTCGCTGGCTCCGCACGGGGCAACGAGACGCTGCCTCCCGGGGCATACGTGCTTCAAACAGCGGAAGACACGCTCCCGGACACGGCTCGTGGAGTAAGGCCTCGTTTAGCACAGAACGAAGCAGACAGCACCAGACACGAGCAGCAGAAAGCCTCATGCTGGGCCGAGAAGACCATCGTGTCGGGTTCGACGCGGCTGGGCAGACGGCAGTGACACGCCAAAGTCCCCATTCTGGGCCGCGATGGGACTTGGTCCGGAACAGGATGTTGTGTTTACTGCGTGATGCTGAATGAACATGCTCCTGTCGACGTAAGCCTCTGGAGCTCGGGGCATCCCCCGGCCACCACCCTCGGCCACCGAGGGTCCTCTGCCCCGCAGGGGACGCCACCAGCCCCGGGGGAGGAAGGGACGTTTCCGCTTGTGACCCTGTGCTGCAGGCATCGCAGAAACAATCTGAAATGCCCCTGGGAAGAGGGGTTACTCCCTCTCCAGACGAACTGCTTCCTCGATCCCCACAAACTGGACTCGGTTCTAATGGTATTCGTTAATTTCCCTTGGGAGAAATTCAAATTTCACATAGACCTGGAGTTGTGTTTTTGTAATGAGATAAATGTGATTTTCGGTTGGTTGCCTTTTTTTCTTCTCCAAAAACCTCAGCAGCAACCTGGGAAGAGGGGTTACTCCCTCTCCAGACGAACTGCTTCCTCGATCCCCACAAACTGGACTCAGTTCTAATGGTATTCGTTAATTTCCCTTGGGAGAAATTCAAATTTCACATAGACCTGGAGTTGTGTTTTTGTAATGAGATAAATGTGATTTTCGGTTGGTTGCCTTTTTTTCTTCTCCAAAAACTTCAGCGGCAAATATGTTTGTTTGTTTGTCTGTTTGGACAAATGCGTTTCTTATTTCCTGCCCCCTCCCCAGCTTAGACGGTCTCAGTTTAGGAAAACGGCTCGCTACCTTTTCCTAGGAACCTGGGCGCTGCCGCGGTGATGTCTGCTACGAAGCGCCCTAATTAGAACTGCTTCTGTTTCTGTGCTGCTGTTGATTCAAGGGTGACCGCAGTGTTGGGGACACTGTGCCACACAAGCAGCCTTCCAGCCGTGCTCCCGGATTCAGTCACACACCCCGCTGGGGGCCAAGAAAGGGCGGTGACGAGGCGGGGTACGGACCAGGTCCTTAGCGGCAGGGTCGCCACGTGGAGAGATGCACGGACAGCATGATGCTGGCCCCGGCCACCGAGCCTCGCCTGTCGCCTCTACAGCTTTTTGTGCTCGCTTATAAACGTACGGCCGAACACGGCGTGACCCCGCTTCTGCGCTGTCACGGCCTTTCTCCAGAAGCGGGTTGTGACAGTCCGACCTCACGGCCTGAGCGTCTGTCGAAGGGCTGCTGCAGTGGCGACCGGGCTGCTGAGAGGGACTAGGGGCCCCGCAGGTGGGCGGACACCGCCTCCCCCCAGTCCTCTGCTCCTGGCCGAAGCCTGGCATGCAGGGAGCTTGGAGCCCCTGACCCCCGAGGGCCTATGTGTGGTACGGCCGCTGGGTCCGGTGACGCCTGGAGGGAAGGAGAGATCAGACACCGAGTGTGTCAGGCCCTCCGCCCAGCCTGTCGCAGGTGTGATGCTCACTGAGGCACTGATCCCAGAGCACGGATGGACCCCGAAGACATAGGCCGAGCGACAGAAGCCGGACACAGAGGCCACACGGTGTGAGTCCGTTCACGGGAAATGTCCAGGACAGGCACGTCCATTGAAACAGGAAGTCGACGGGTGGTTTCCGGGCAATGGGGAGTCCTAAGGTTTCTGTAACTGCCTTTGATGACTTCTTCCTTGACATCTGCTATTTAGAAGTATTTTTTAACAGCCGGTGCCTGGAAAGTTGCTCTCACGTTAACTTGTTTTTAAAATACTGATTGTCCAGGGGTGGGCATGTGACCTGGAACTGGCCCGAACGTGTGTTCCGTGGTCTGGACACAGTGGTTGGCTCGAGGGCAGGCACGGGGCTCAGGCAGGTCTGGGGAGGTTTAGTCCTGGGACTCGCACTGGGAAAACGAGGGAGGCAAAGCCGCCGTGATGTGGAGGCTGGGGGTCTCCGCGTGACGCAGGGACGGCTGTCCGGGGATGCGGCCGGCCCCCGGTGCAGCGCGGACAGCTGCAGGGGCCTCCTCCGAGGCTCGGGCCTCCTCCGCTGCACGAGCCTGCTACTCCGCTTCCGGCATAGGATGGGTTCACATGGGTGTCTGCCACCCATACTTGAAAACCCGAGGGGCGCACGTCCCCCCGTCTACGCCTAAGGCTGATGTCCCAGGCCTGCCTCACAGATGTCTCTCCAACCGTCTGCTATCAGCTCCCCTTCAAGGCTTGGGAGGAGATGTCGGCATGACAGCCACTCACACAGACGCCGCGTCTCATAGAGACCAGACTGCAGCTCGGGCGGGCCCTGGGAGATGGCCTCCTGCAAGGCCTGGGCGTTCAGGCCACAGGTCAAGGGCAATGACGTGAGTCCATCGGAGCCCGGGGCTGGTCTGCCCTCACGCTGCCCCTCAGCTGGCACCGTGCGGGGCCTTGCTCACGGGAGAATGCGAGAGCGGTCGGTCAGTATGGGTTCAACAGCTACGTGCCAGCAGTTCCCATGGCCCATGCACGTGGCAGGCACCCCCCGCCCCCCACTCCCCACCCAGCCCCGCAAGGTGGCACCGTCACATCGCCATAGAAGCTGAGACACGGAGGCTGACAGGGCCAGCTGCCCCAAAGCACAGAGCAACGTCCAGAGGCCGATTCTGAAGCTGGAGCCTGACCTGTTCCAAGACTATTGTGCCAGGAGGCCCGACCGCACGGCCTCCGCCACGGCCTCCGCCGCCCGAGGGCCTGCCGCCGGGCAGCTGTGCGGGAAGCGAGGAATGGCTGCGACACGGAGCTGCGCTCACACACGAGCCGTTCACACGGCCGGTTCCCCTCACACATCCGCCCCGGGGCGACCCCCAAATCTCACAGCCCCCGACGGTGAAAGGCCTGAAGTCATGCTGCGAAGCGGTGCAGCCCAGTGCAAACCAGCTGCCCAGGAACCCGCAGCCGTCACACCGGGGGGCGTTTGGACCGGCAGGTGTGGGAGGGCCTGGCGCCTGGCGCTGCTGAGAACACAGAAACCAGCAGGGCGGCTCCTTAACAAGAAGTGACCTGAACGTCAAAGGGCTCAGAGAAGCCCTGGGGCGGGGGGTGTTTGAGGTGCCCTCGTACTTTTTAGCGAAACCAGTCCTCTGCGTAACGGAGCTGGCAGACCACACACGTGAAGGGCAGAGCGTGGAGCTGTCATACAGTTGGTTGGAAAAATCATGGCCCTGCCAAATCAGCACTCGATTAATTCTTTGTTGGTTCCATGAATCGGCGTAAAGTTGCATTCATAGCCTGAAATTTCTTGACTATGAGACAAATTCAAGATATTGTCCCCTTTTTTTATTTTTCCAGATCAATTCTCACACTCCCTGCCCCACTATTGACACTATTACCCTCTGCTTCCCATTTTAAGCGGATTCCCTCGCGGGACCAATGACCACCTTGTGCTGGAGAACAGTCGACAGCAGGCAGTGACCACTCCACCGCTCTAAGTGTGTGCGTCTGCCCACGCATCCCCGAGGCCACGGGAAGCCAGCCCCGGACTGCCACCACCCTGCCCAGGACAGCCTTCCCGCCTTCACACTCAGTCTTTATCAAAGACCGAGACCAAAACAGCCCAGCGACAAGCTCGTACAGGTCCGTTTACCTGCGTCATCAAAACAGCTTCCGCTTTGTTCCTCCACATCTCTGTCATAAAGGCCATCAGTCATTTTGGAGTTGGTTTTGGGGGCCTTTGGATTCCTCGTGTCTACTTATCTGCGGAGAGAACGCACAAATGGGTGAATAAAAGTGAATGAACCTTTTGCAGGTTTCACATGGCAAAGCAATGCACTGGCTGTTTGCCGTCAGAGGGCGTGGGGGTAGATGTGTGTTTAAATTTAGAACCAACGAAAACAGACTCTCCTGAGAAATAATGCTTCCTTCTTTTTCTGTCTTGGCACCGTGAAACTCAGAAGCTTTCCCTGTGCGAACTGGCTGCAGCAAAGCTCAAAAACAAGTTCCCTCTTGACTTTTACGTGTTTCGATCACGTTTTGTACGCATGCCTTGCGTTTTAGGCCACTGGAAGTCATCTCGGAAGGAGCGCGCTTCACTGGACGCGACTGGGCTGTATGAGGGGTTGTCATCAGAAGTGGGTAAAGCTACCAGGGCTGTCAAGCCTCCCCAAGGGGCAGCGGTGCGGGCAGACCAGACGGGGCACGCACCTGGACAGGGCTGTCAGGGAACAGGACAGAAAGGCTTCGGACTGTGGGGTTTGGATGGGGTGTGAACCTCCCCCCGAGGAAGAGTCTCAAGGCTCAAATTACTTGAGGTATCAGCATGAGATTCCCTGCCGGCAACAGCTCTGGCCTAGAGAAAGGGAGAACAAGCCGTGGGGGCTCTCGGGGGTCCCTGGGAGGAACCGGAAATCGCCCTGCTGCGGGCGGCACAGGCCCCTCCTCTTCCCCATTCCCCGGGCGTGTGTGACAGGAGACCAGTAATTAAAGGTAAGGGTCCGGCCCTTACCAGCTTCGTGACTTTGGCCCAGTTCTCTGACCCTGAGCATTCTGTCTATAAAATGGGATAATAACGTTTCTACTTAATTGGGTTGTGAACATTCAATGAGTTACCATATATAAAGCACTTATGACAATGCCTGGCATGTACTAAGTGCCAAATAAATGTTGGCTGTTCTTATTACTCCCTTGGACGGGAAAGGGTAGCCCAGGTGGGCTCTGAGGGGCAGAGATCCCCACACCAGCTAGAGGGGTTAAAGACCTGTTGCTCTGGGACAGAGGGCTTTGACAGAGTCCCTCCTGGACCAGACTGGACTCTGGCTTCCCTGAGCACTTTCAACTAGGCCCCCAGTTTTAGACTTCTGTGTGGTCCCTGCATCTTCCGATTTTAGCAAGAATTCCCTTCCTCCATATCTGACCACCCTTCGCTATCCCCTAGGGGGTCTCATCATCTCGGCCTAATTTCAGCAAGAGTCCCCCTGCACCAACTGATGTTTCCTCTTAACGGTGTCCGACCCACTGACCGCCCCCTGCTCCTCAGCTGTCAGTTCCCACTGGCCCACGCTGTCCTTGGGACCGAGCCCAGTTCTTACACCCTACTGCCACAGCCCTTGCACAGGAGAAAGGGGCTCTACGGAGTGACCTCAGGGCGACCTAATCACAAACTCCTAACGGGGCAGGTCGTGGTGGGTCGCCACGCCCCAGGCCTGTAACTTTAGTCAAAGGTTATCTCTGCCTTAAGCAACCCTGTGCCTCGCTCTCGTGCATCTAGGCGGACACACTTTTGAAATAAGCTGTAATCGCCCGCACGTGAGCGCACAACCTGAGCTGTCCCGCAATCTGTCCTGCCTTGCTTTCTCCGGACTCTGTCACCTTCCTGACCCAGACGTCCCGCCTAATTCCAAATGTGTAAGAGAAACTGCGCGCTGTCACTCTCCAGAGCACTGGAGGTCTTGCTTCCCAACGAATGCCATCAGTTTGGTGCAAACTCATAACCATCCTCTACAGGTGTGGAAGCTTCTCACGTGCACACGCTGAGTGAGATTTTCCCTGACACCGCCCTGCAGTTATTAGGAGGG